AACTAATTAATGTGGGCTACAATTGAACAACTGTTGGAAGATGTGATTCACACCTATGATATGAATCCTTATTTGTTTTTTTGGCCATTAGGGCATTATCAATGCCTTATTTTTTGAAAATTGAAATTTTAATGCTAAACCTTTCAAGTAGTTGGAAATAAAGTTGTTAATATTGTATTGATATACATATCAACTTTGTTACTGAAACGATACGTAGTGGATACTAGAATTTTTCACGTGCCATTTCAGATTTATTGCTATAAATAAATAAATATATTTATAAATTAAATATCAAATTTGAAAATAATGATAAGAGAAACAAATGTTTAAAACTATCATATTCATATAAATTGAAAACAAGTTTAAAATGACCAATTTTATAAAATATTCATAATTTTTTCTTCTTTTTTTTTTAACATTAAATGTGTCTATTTAGACAAACTTAACAGAGTAACCGATAAAAGAACTAAAAAAATGCAATTTTCAGAGTTAATGGACCAAAAAAATGTATTAAAAAGTTAAAAGATGAAAATTATGCAAAACATTAAAGTTAAGGACTAAAAATAGAACTTACCCTTTTAAAATTTGAATTGCTTTATATCGGCACATTTTTGTTGTACCGACCAGTATATCGAAATATCGATCAATATGTCAAAATTTAATTGAAATGGACAAAATTTGACCCAAACGAAATTAGACATTATATCATTTCGGATTAATGAAAAAATTGATACGTACCAACTGTACCGACCGGTGTAAAATGGTATTAACAACTTTGGTTGAAAATCTATCCTCCAAAAAGAGTTGTAAATTTGCCCTCAAGTTTTATGGATTACAAAAATCCTAAATTTAACTAATAATGTAATCTTTTTATGAAATCATTTTTTTTTTTGAAAAATGATTCAGGAATAACTTTTTTTTAATCAAGTCAAGAATAACTATACTACTTTTTAATATAACTTTATATGTCATTTAAATGATTAGCTATTTTTGTTTATTTAAGATCCATAATATTGAATATATCTACTCATATAATAATATGTAAAAATTATATAAAAAATTATACCAAAATATTGTACTATATCATTGTCCGTGTTTCTCCTTTGTCTAAGTGACAATTATTTGACATGCTGATACTAAGGTGGCATAAAATTTGATGACCTGGTAAGAATTCTCTTCTAATTTGCATTTGTTGCAAGCCTACCTAGTAAATGACTAAATACTTCCTACTTGTGATTGAACTTTAATTATTTATTCCCTTAGTAAATGACTAACTACTATTGGGTTAGGCTAATCCCTCCTATGTGGAGAAATGGCCAAATATTTGTTGGACTAAGCCCACACTTGTTAAGCCTCGTTGAAGCCATATTTTGTAGCCCTTTTAACGCAAAGAAAGAAGTCTGATTTGGACAGTAGAAAGTGGAGAGAACATGAATGGAGCCAGCTAACCAACTAAAAGGGAAATGAAAGCATGAGATAATTTTGCAAATTTGGTACTATGCATAGTTTTGCAACTTTGTCCAATCCACAAAAGTTCATTGTTGCATTGCATTGAAATTTTGTCTAAATGTTCATGAGATAATGATCTCTATTCAAAATAGTCAGTTTTTTGTTTGGAGCTTTGTAAGTTCTGATTTTGTGCCTAGAATAGAGGCCTATTTTTTATTCTTGTCTTTCTCTGTGGTCCCATTTTTTTTCTCGGTTTGTGGCCTGTTATTCCTCTTGTTGGGTGTTCTTTTTGTGCCCTTTTAGAAAAGGACATTGTGTATTCTCTTTGATTATAGTGGAGCTATTTTCAATGGATTGGATGTCGCGTGGTTTTACCCCTTTTTGGGGTTTTCCATGTAAAAGTCTCTTGTGGTGGATGGTTTGCCTTACTCTTTTCTAGCATTTTGCATATTTTAACTACTGCCATTATGTTATTTGGACTTAATTGAGCTTGCTCCTAATAGTTTCAAATAGATTAGGGAAGATTTTGGTGTTATTTTTGCTTTCGTTGTACTCAGGTGACACCTCATTTTTCTTAACAAACTAGTATCAGCGTACTTGGCTTGTTGTTTTTTAGATATCTATTTGAATTATGGAGGTTAATACGAGTAAAATGATTTGCTTGAATGATGCAAATTATCAGAAATGGAGAGTTAAAATGAAAGATCTCTTATTTGTGAAAAAGATGCATTTGCTGGTGTTTGGGACTTAAAAACTAGATTCTATGATTGATAAAGAGTGGATTTTTTAGCACTAGCAGAGTTGTGGCTATATAAGGCAATGGGTAGAAGACAATGTCTTGAATCACATTGTAAATGAGACACATGCAAGAACTTTGTGGGAAAGCTTGAGACACTTTATGCTTCAAAAACTAGCAATAACAAGTTGTTTAAGCTAAAGTAGTTGATAAATTTAAAGTAAAAAGAAGGAAGTCCTATTTTAGATCATGTTAGTGATTTTCAGGGCATCGTTGTTTGCATGTTTGATATTGGGTGTCAAGTTTGATGATGAGATTTAAGGACTTTGGTTACTTAATACTTGCTTGATTTATAGGAAACTGTTCAGGTTTCATGGACCAATGCTGCTCCCAATGGTGTTATGACCATGGAATATACTAAAAATGGTGTCTTGAATGAAAAGGTGAAAAAAAATAATCAGGCTGCATTTTCTTCAACCTCACAATTAGATGTTCTAATCATAGAAGCTAAGGGGAGAAGCAAATATAAGGGTCAAGAAGGCAGAGATAAAAGTAGAAACAATTCAAGGTCAAACTACAAAGATCTTGAATGTCATTATTGTGGTAAAAAAGGGCATGAGAAATACTATTTTTAGCTTGAAAAGGAGATGAGGTAAGAGAAGAAGAAAGATGATGATAATGAGAACTGTGTTGTTGTTGCCATTGCTGGTGATTTTCTTTTTACTAGTGATGAAAATGTTATCAATTTTGCATCTTATAAGACAAGCTAGATTGTGGATTCTAGTGCTACATATCATGTTATACCTAGGAAGGAATTTTTCACATCTTACACTTCTAGTGATTTTGGGGTATTGAAGATGGGTGATGATGGCTAGATTAAGGTGATCGACATTGGGATAGTTTGCTTGCAAACCAACAATGACACAAAGTTGGTTCTTAAGGATGTCAAGCATGCACTTCATATCTAACTTAATTTAATTTCTACAAGAAAGCTAGATGATGATGGTTATTGCAATTCTTTTAGTGATGGGCAGTGCAAATTCACTAAGAGTTTCCTTATTGTGGCTTGAGGTTCCAAGTCTTCCAACTTGTATTTGATGTAGGGTTCTAGTTTTGGTGGCTTTGTTAATGTAGTTAGAAAAGATAAATCATCAAAGTTATGGCACAAAAGGCTTAAACATATGAGTGTGGAAGGGATAAATTGTTTGGCCAAGAAGAATGTGCCTTTTGGATTAAAGGAAGCAAAGTTGGAACAATGTGTTCATTGCTTGGCTAGGAAACAAAAAGGATTTTCTTTCAAAAACAATCCTTCTTCAAGAAAGCTAGATTTGTTGGAGCTTGTGCATTCTAATATGTGTGGACTATTGAAGGTGAGGTCACATGGTTATGCACTTTATTTTGTCACCTTTATTGATGATCATTTTAGGAAACTCTAGGTTTATGCCTTAAGAACCAAAGATCAGGTTCTTGACGTGTTTAAGCAATTTAAGCCTTGGTTGAAAGATAAATAGGCAAGAAACTAAAGTGTCAACTTGGTATTCCGATTTTTCTTTGAGCATCTATTGTTGTCAGTCCAAAATCTTTGTCAAAAAATTTTGATTAATTAACTCATTAAGATGTCTAATTTCTAGGATTGATTCAGAGGGCACAGTCATTGTCCTCTAATCCTTGTACAGATGGTATTTCTATGTATAAATTTGACAAAGTTTATGTTTATCTAATTCCTTTCATAGACCATAAAAAACCTCATGCCATCGATTCAAATGATCCATAGCAGCAGCTACCAGTTTTGTCCTCATATTATTATTATTATTATTATTTAGCTTAATTAACAATTAAAGTTTGTGCATATCAAGATATTAATCTCTTTTTAATTTAATAAAAAATTAATTATTATTATTATTATTATTATTTAGCTTAACAATTAAAGTTTGTACATATCAAGATATTAATCTCTTTTTAATTTAATAAAAAATTAATTATCTACACCTAAATTAAAGAATATATTACTTCTTTAACAATCAAAATTTAATGAATAAGGTGAAAAATAAAACTTCTTACTTTCTTAAATTAATATTTTTATTTTATAATCATTGTTTCTTAGAAATGGACATGAATGCAAGCCAATTGATTTTGGACCGTTAATTATCCTTAAATTATTTTCAAACCCTCAATTTTAGGTTTTTTTTTTTTTGTCTAGTTTATTAGAACTATCAAATCTATTTCTATTTTTTAAAATAATATAAGTGAAATATTATATGATATTATAAATTTATAATTATAATATATTATTATATATTAAATTTTTTACTTAAAAAATATTTATAATACTATATATATTTACTGATTTGATTATATGTTATAATTATATAATAATAATTTTATAGATAACATTACAACTACACCTAATATTATAACTACAGAATTGCCTTGTTTTTTGGTATGAACCCCGATTATGACGCCAACTTCTACAAAAGTTTTCTTTCGTGAGTAGGGCCAGTATACATTAAGGATCCCCATTCATAAAAATTTTCATTCGATGGAGCCATAAAAGGAAATCACAATGGAATCGAGACTTTGGGCACAATGATTCATTTCTAAATTTTAAGTGTTTGAGTGTAGTTAGTTGAGAGTTCAATTCTCATCAATAATTTATAAAAAATCTCCC